TTGACATTAGCTTTAGAAGCTTGAAGTGTAAGTTAAGACTAACTCTTTTACAAATGTCTCTTTTAATTTTTTATCACCAGTACTGGACAGGTGGACGGGTCAGTCGATGGAAAAGTAGAAAAAGCTGTTCATTTAAAGATTTTTTGACATTTACACTGCACTAACCTGAACCCAGCTCTTTGGGATCTGCATAAATTGAAGGGTTGTGGAGTTGTGGCAGTATCCTTGGTATTATGCATATTAGTTTAAGGCTGTCACTAAGAATCAGCCAGGGTGTCCATCCTACTGTGGCAAGAAGCTGCTAATTATTGGATCAGAGATAAAATGCTTTTTAGCTCTCTCTCTCTCTCTCTCTCTCTGTCTCTCTGTCTCTCTCTCTGTGCTTCTGCTTTTGCAGCGGACGAAAAACCAAGGAAAGACAGCCCAACTAATTTTGGCCTCACAGAGAGCCACTGGGTCGGAAATTGATCAAGTGGGAAATCTTTGTCTGTTTGGCCAATTTGGACTTAAGACCAGGATTTGTCACGTCTGCCTGACTTCTCTAGTGTGAAAAGAGAGCGGAATAACAGGATGCTGCGAGAGGAAAAAACACAGATGGATGAATAAAGTTTTTTTTAAAAAACAAAAAACAAAACAAGTACAGTATAATGGTGATGATTTGACACGTAACATGAAGTTATATATTATAAAATATTTTACCATGTGAAAAAATGAAAATAAAAAAACAGCAATGTCTTTGTTATGACAGCTTTATAGACACCATGAAACCCCATCCACCATGAAATCTTGTTAAAGTATAGCATCTCATTAAGTTCCTGCCAACTGAGCGGCTGAGACCTGATCTGCTTCACAAAGGTGCAAAGAAAGGCAACATACGGTCCATATGGTGCTGAGCTGACACTGAAGCCTCACCCATGGGAACGAAATAACTTCAATTTTCTAAAGATCTTTAAGAATATTTTCCAAAAAAATGTCATTTTAAGTGCTGCCTTTTTGATGCATTTTTTCTACCAGTTCATCTTAGATAAACAGCATTCATTGACAGACAGACATGCACATAAACACATACGCAGACAATGGCTATTGACCTGAGGCCTTTGAGCAAACAATCCCACTTCAGTGGTTCTGAACAGCACTGACACAATGATGATGGTGGGGTTGAGGAGAGTGGGGGGACCTCTTTAGGATTAGTCTGTGTAAGTAGGTATTCTCAAAGCTGTTGAAGAGCTGACATATACTGAAGCACACAGGAAAGGTAAAATGTGGAGTTATCTTACCATTCTCTCAGATGTACGCCGTTTTCATTCTCTGGCCTGTACCTGCAGAAAATGTCATTTTTAAAAATAATAATAATGCTGAAGGGCAAAAGTTCTGTAGCATCAGTTTGACCTACAAAGTCTTTGGACGTCATTGTCAGTGGATTACTTCCAATTAGTCAATTTACTATCGCAGCTAGACAAGGTCAGCAGAAAGACATACAGTATTATACAAGGTAAACAATTCCAAAGGCTAGAACAGGAAAGCACGGTCATCTTATTGGGAGACAGACTAATCCCAAAGTAGGTAAAACATGTAAAGTCAAGGATGACGGAGAGAAATGGTACAGGGAGACAAAAGTGAATGGAAAAAACATGTGCCTTTAAAGGACACGTTCATCTGGAATCCACACCAGGTGACATTGATGGTTTCTACGGCTGATTTGAGATGAGCTTCTCTATGTTCATGGAGCTGTTTAACAGTAAACAGTATCAAAGATGGAATGTTCTATGATACAAAGAACTCCCAATCCCCACATGCAGAGGACAAAGAAAACACGGAGTGAAGAAGGAGTTGGGACTGTTGCCTACCTGGGGCTGTTTCCTGCATCTTCTCCCTCTTCCGCTTCTTCTTCTTTCT